CCTTAGTTTCCAGTTTTCTTGCTCAGTGATTTCTGAAACTGGGTTGCCCTGAATTCAAATCCTGTATTTGCCACTTATTAGGCCACATGGTACCTGGGAAAAGTTAACTTTTTAGTCTTTAGATTAACTAAGTAAAGTTAATTAGATAATTCAAGTAAATCACGTAGGATGCATTTAAAATGTTAACACATTTTGTCCTCATTGCCTAGCATAGCTGAATCTTACTCAGAGCAGGAGACTCTCTACTCTGCAGCTTCAGGAGAATTTGCCCTTCCTGTCAGTCACTGGTCTGGAGAAGAGTGGGATTCTCAGTGGCTTCTGGCTGGATGCCCTCCTTTTGGGATATAAATGCTAACTGAGGGGGAAGTGATAGCCTTGGCAAGGAGTTCTCTATTGCCCAGAGCTGCCCTAAAACAGGTTGGCTGGTTTCATTGTTCCGGCTAGAGCTTCAGCCTAGATCTCCCTGAGAGAACTCACCTGGGCTAAGCAAATGCCCGCCAGCCTTCTAACTGGAATAGGTGGTGAACTAAAAAGAAATTTCAGTAAACACCCTACATATCCGATGCAAGCAAAAGTCCTATCCTCAATTCCCCAGGAGACCATATTGAGCTTGAGGAGTTGTGTCTCAGTGGAAACAATGTAGGTGTCATGCTCTCAGTGACGGAGCAGCTGACTTTGTAATAAAACAGCAATCAAGGACCCCTGGGTGGGTCAGTCTGTTAAGTGTCCCCTTCAGCTCATCTCATGATCCCAGGGTCCTCGGACTGAGCCCTGCATGGGGCTCTCTGATCAGCAGGGAGCCTGCTTCTCCCTTTCCCTCTTCCGGCTGCTCTAGCTGCTTGTGAGATCTCTTTGTTAAATAAATAAAATCTTAAGGGAAAAAAAAAAAAACAGCAATCAAAAGAGGAGAGTGGACTCCTAGACTTCAGTTGTGCTCTACGCAAGATCCTCTGTCCCCAAAGAACTTAGAAAAACTAGGCTGTTCGTGTTCTTGCTTTTGCTTTTCATGAGAGTCTGCTGCCTAGATGTTTGAGATAAGACAGACTGGGAGGGAGAGGTGCCTCAAAATCTAGTTGTTGGTATTTTCAGCAATTGCTGCAATAGTAAGACAGAAGAAACATTATTCCTCAGAAACGCAATTAGCAGTCTCTCTCAGGGTTGCTGCCCCACATAGAGTTAGACCATGGTGCTGGCTCCTTATAAATAATGTAGTTTTCCAACTCACCGGTGCTAAGGATGCCTGGAATTAAACTAGTTACTTGGGAAGACTATGTGGCATTTTTCTATAGCATAAGGTATACTCCTGAGCATGCCCTCTTTTTAAATGAGTAGGTAAGAGCTGAGAAAACATTCTAAACCCCCCACAAACAGTTTTTACAGTACAAAGTGTTACTACCTGTGTTTTTAAAAATTTAGTTTTTTTTTCACTGCATTGCTTTGTAACCACCACTCCAATTAAGATACAGAACATTTAAAAAAATAAAAAAGATACAGAATATTTTCATCATTCCTGAAAGTTCTCTTTTGCACTTCCAAACAATCCTACTCACCCCAGCCCATCCCCCCGCAACCACTGTTCTGATTTCTATCTCTAGAGATTATATATACATACCTATTTTGAACTTACATAAATGGAAACATGTACTACACACTATATCTCTGGATTCTTTTGCTCAACATAATGTCTGTAAGACCGCGGAACTCTCATTTCTGTTGCTGTATTTATCAGTACTTCATTCCCTTTTTTGTTTTTTAAATCAATGTTATTGGGAAGGATAATTTATATATTATAAAATGACATTTGAAATATACAGTTCCACTAGTTTGTTTTGTTTTTAAAGATTTTATTTATTTGAGAGAAAGAGAGAGCACAAGCAGATGGGGGAAGGGGCAGTGGGAAAGGGAGAAGAAAGCAAACTCCCCACTCAGTGGGAATCCCAACATGGGGCTGGAACCAACTGAGTCACCCAGGTACCCCCAGTTCCATGAGTTTTAACAAATTTATACATCTATGTAACCAGGACCCCAATCAAGATACAGAATATTTTGGTTACCTGGCTGGCTCAGCCGGTGGAGGATGTGACTCTTGATATCAGGGTTCTAAGTTCAAGACCCATGTTGGGTGTAGAGATTACTTAAAAATAAAATTTAGGGGCATCTGGGTGGCTCAGTCGGTTAAGCGTCTGACTTTGGCTCAGGTTGTGATCCTGGAGTCCTGGAATCGAGCACTACATTGGGTTCCCTCCTCGGTGGGAGCCCGCTTCTCACTCTCCCTCTGCAGCTCCCCCTGCTTGTGCTCTGTCAAATGAATAAATAAAATCTTAAAAAAAAAAAAAAATACACAACATTTCTATCACCCAGAAGTTCCCTTGTGTCCTGCTCAACTTTCCCTCATCCAGATGCATTGCCCTCAGATGAGTGTTATCACTACAGATTTCCCTTTTCCAATTTTTTAAAAAAGATTTTATTTATTTGACAGACAAAGATCACATGTAGGCAGAGAGGCAGGCAGAGAGAGAGAGGAGGAAGGAGGCTCCCCGCTGAGGAGAGAGCCCGATGCGGGGCTCGATCCCAGGAACCTGAGATCATGACCTGAGCCAAAGGCAGAGGCTTAACCCACTGAGCCACCCAGGCGCCCCCCTTTTCCAATTTTTGACTTGCATATATGTGGATCCTACAGTATTGCATCTCTTATATCTGACTTCTTCCCTTCAATGCAACATCTCTTAAGATTCACCTACTTCATCATGAATAGTTTATTCCTTTTCATTGCTGAGTAGTAATTCAATGAATAAACATACCATAATGTGTGTACCCATTTTCCTGTTGATGGACATTTGGGTTTCCAGTTTGGGGCTATTTTTGACGAATTTTGCTATAAACATTTGGTACAAGTCTGTAGACATAGGTTTCATTTCTCTTGGATAGTAACCAGGAGTAGATTTGCTGGGTCACAGAGTATGTATAGGTTTAACTTCTTAAGAAACTGCCTAACAGGGGCACCTGGGTGGCTCAGTGGGTTAAGCCTCTGCCTTCGGCTCAGGTCATGATCTTGGGGTCCTGGTATCGAGTCCCACATCGGGCTCTCTGCTCTGCAGGGAGCCTGCTTCCTCCTCTCTCTCTCTCTGCTTGCCTCTCTGCCCACTTGTGATCTCTGTCAAATAAATAAAATCTTTAAAAAAAAAAAAAAAAGAAAGAAAAACTGCCTAACATACAAAACCACTGTGCCATTTTACATTCTCTGCAGAAGTTTCTGAGAGTTCCAGTTGCTCCTGACAAAGTTTCTTTGCGTGACCAAACTTTAGTCAGGTTCTTGAACCTTCTACTAAGCCTATCTGCTCATTCCTTGTAAAATCCAGTTTTAGCAAGAACCACCCCCCCACAAACACTTGGTATCTGGCCACCTCAGTATCTGACAGCACCATCCCCCAGGTGGGGTCTGATTCATCAGCAAGAATCCTGTTAGGTTAGAATTCCACTAACAGAATTCCCCTACACCTTTATGTTTCCTCTTAGTAATTTTTGATCCACTGACCACTCCCTACCACCACCACCCTGCTCCTCAGCTATAAATTCCCTCTCCCTCATGTTGCATCTCACCCTCACCAAAAAAAAATCTCACTGTAGAGTTCCCTATACCTATCCTGTGTGCCTTGCCATCTCTACCATGTCGTTGAATATTTCTTTAACATTCCACATTCTTACCAACACAGGGTAGGTCAATTTTTAATTTTAACCATTCTACCAATGTGCAGTGGTATCTCTGTGCGGTGACTTCGATTTGCATTTCACTTTGATTTGCATTTCCTTAATAACCAGTGATTTCCAGCTCTTTCTCATGAACTTACTCACCACAACGGTATCCTCTTTTGCAAAGCTTTCAAGTCATTCACACATTTTGACATAAATGTTGCAATTAAAAATGTCCTGAAGTGGGTGCCTGGTGGCTCAGTTGGTTAAGCCACTCAGGTCATGATCCTAGAGTCCCGAATCAGGCTCCTAGCTCAGTGGGGAGTCTGCTTCTCCCTCTGAACCTTAGGTCTTCTCATGCACTCTCTCTCTCACAAATAAATAAATTAAATCTTTTAAAAAAGATGTCCTAAAGTAATACATTTTGAACTAAAATCTCTATTAACGTATTCATCCACACGTTAAAAAGCATTTATCAAGAGGCTACTATGTGTCATGAATTTCTCACAAATTAACTGTGACTAAGACATAAAATGTTTGCTCTTGCTCGAAGAATTCATATTCTGGGGTGGGAGGCGAGAGGCAGAAAGCGAACCAAAAGCAAGATGATTTTTGATGGGATGGAGATGTTCACTGAGTATAAACGATAAAACGTTGGAAACAACCTATACATCTCCAAGGTGACAGAGGTAGGGGGAGTTAGATAATTTATGTGATATGAATTTAATGGACTATTATAATGCCATGAAATCGATAACTATAACATGAAAAAAAAATACTTAGCCATATAATACAAGGGTCAAATTTAAAATTGTATGCGTACGTTGTTTGTCTATGTAAAACACCCGTGTTTTGATGCATATGGACGAAAACTGGAAGGACCCAGAAGAAAAATAAAACGCTGCTGCGTGTATTCTTCGGAGTGATGGAATTACGGGGGGCGTCTAACGGCTTTGGTTTCGTTTTGATTTTTGTCTTACATGCTACCGCGTTAACACCAGACACCAGCCATCTACAGCATTCTCAGGGGACTTACCTTTGTGCAAGTCTTTAGAATTCAGAGACACGTGACAGGTTTAAAATAAAGCATGGGTTACCTCAGTGTGAAGTAAGGCAATAAAGCCAGGACTAATAGTTTGACTTCGCAGAGCCTGGGGATCTCAGGGCCCGATAACGGTGCTCCAGCCCGCGGTAGACGCTCGTCAGCAAACCACCGGAAGAGGCCACTCTGAAGAACACGCCCGGCGCGGCGCGGAATAGTGACGCCTTGCGCCGGGCAGGAACTGACGTCACTTTCGGCACCGCCGCTTCCGGTCCTCGTGGGGGTGGTTCTCGCAGAGACAGCGGACTCAGGACTGGTGTTGGCGCGCGTGCGGTGAATTCTTTAGCGAGTCGACCTCACTTCCCGCCGGATCATGGCCACCGACTCGTGGGCCCTGGCAGTGGACGAGCAGGAAGCGGCTGTCAAGTCGGTCAGTGGCTTCAGCTCCCGCGGGGCGAGCATAGCAGGGGCCCGATCGAACCCTGATACGAGCCCGGGGAGCTAGCTACCCGGGTTGGGCAGGCTTGTGGCCCACATCTCCCTAGAGTTTGCTGCCGGGAATCATAGCCCCGATTTGCGCCTGGGTCGAAAGAGACCAACGTCGGCCTTCTTCTGTTCATCTGGGCGGGTTAAAGACTTTTTTACCCAGTAGCAAGTTTTTTCCCACTTTGTATGCTTTTTTTTTTTCTGTTGCACTTCCTTTTCGGGGGTGGGGTTTGTAGGGAAATTTAGGTGCTAATTCTCTTGTCTGTTTTCTGAGTGATTCTGTGCTAAACATTGTTTTTCGGTTTGTGCTTAACATGGTTGGCAGTTTGTAGCTCTTTGAAGAATAACAGATTCAGGTTCAGATTTAGTGTTTCAGTCTACTGCAGATGTCAGCGGGAGGCCCTTCAGATTGTTTCGTTGATGTTTGAAGTGACGTTTTATTTCATATACTGGTTATTTGATTAATGAAGACCTATTCAACTTAAGGTAATTAGAGTATAAGCTGGCTTTCTGTTCTGATATCTTAGTTAAGGTTAGTTTAGTGATAATGATAATTGATTTTAATAGTTTGTGTTTGTTTGATAGTCTGAAGTCTTATGTAAGTTTTTTAATGGCTAAGTTACATTTTTTTCCCAGTCATCCTTGATTACATTGGGAGGATTGTCGGTTTGACTGTCAGCAAATGTTACGGGCTAAATCCAGTGGAGTATAAAAAGAATCTTTACAGTCTAGTTAGGAAGGTGAGAATGTGGGAAGTGCTGTGAAAATGGTAAGAATAATGTGATAAGTGATCTCTGAGTGGAAAGAGGCCGTTTATGAGTAGGAAACAGTGAAATTCCTTGTGAAGAAGTTTTTATTTCAAATGGATTTTAGAGAATGAGTCATTTAAGAGAGAGGTGAATGGCATTTTAGGAGAAAATGCTCAGAGGGGCTGGACTTGTCTAGAGAGCAAAAATCAGAACTCATTTTTGCTACAACTTCAGTTTATGGGTTGTAGTAGAAGCTGAACAGAAAATACTGTATAGTGTACTTTGCAACCTTCATTGAAAACTTAAAGAGGAGAGACTTAACTTGGTTGATTTGGGGATTTTTCGGGAGGATATTGGACAAGATTAGATCTGAGAGCTGTCAAGATTTATTGAACTACAGAGAATATTAGAAGGAGTGATGTCCAAAGGAAAGGCAATCCCTGTGGCAGTCTAGCCTAGAGAGGGTGTATGTTGTTGGTTGGTGGAAGTGACAATGAAGAGATGGATTCAAGAGAATTGTGGTAGTATAAAGAGCAGGATTTAGGAAAAAGGCAAAGGTTGCAGTTTGCAGTCAGGAGCCCACAGGTGGTATTAGTAAAACCTAATAACAGGACCAGGGAAGTGGGAGGATGGGCAGATTTTATATGGACAATGTTGAGTTCAGGTTTGGCTCTTCTTATTTTGAGGTAAGGAGGTCTCTTGGTAGGTACCTGTGTTGGGAATCCCCAGGAATAGTCCAGGTTCAGTGATTTCCTGGGAAGACTCAGAAGACCTAGCATATGTTTGTACTCACAGCTATGATTTATTACAATGAAAAAATACAAAGCAAAATTTGCAGAAGGAAAAGGCACATCTGGCAAAGTCCAGAGGAAACCAGGCACCACCTTCCAAGAGTCCTCTCTTAGTCGACTTACATACTCAGCTTAATTTGAGTTTAAGTCCTGCAGCAGCTAATTGTAATAGCACATGTGAAGTATTGTCAGGGAAGCTCATTAGAGACTCAGTGCTCAGGGTTCTTATTGGGGGGCACGGGTGATGTCACAAACTAACCCTCTGCCTAGCGTGTACCAAAATTCCAGACTTGGAGAAGGAAAGCAGGTGTTTAACATAAAGCTCATGTTTTTACAAACAGTTTAGGCATAGCAAACCCCTCAGCAGTTCTAGGAATGGTGGGAACCCTTCCGAAGTCCAAGACCCCAGATGCGGGACGGGCCAGCCTTGCAAGCTGGCTTTTCTAAGGATAGGAAACTGTTAGCTGTATTATGTTTTCTGCACAGCACCAATCTTGCATTTGGAAATGTGGCATTGGAGTCAGGAGAAGAATCAGGGCAAGTAATAAAACAGGCTGTTTCCCACAAATAAATCAGAGAGTATGACAAAGGTTAAGATTCTGGCATAGGAGGATTTAAAATCCAGTATTTCACACCAGAGCTTTCCTAAAAGATAGCTGGTTTCAAATCTTTTTAAGCCTATGACTCTAATCTAGCTGTGATACTACGAATATTGTAAATATAGGTCTAAACATACTTACTATCTGGTTTTAATCACTCTACTTCTCAGGAAGCTGGTATAAATAAATGTGTTATGACACTGCTTCCTAGGGGCGTCTAGGTGGCTCAGTCATTTGAGTGTGCGACTTAGTTTTCGGCTCAGTTCACGATCTCCGGGTTGTGGGATGTAGCCCCGTGTCGGGCTTGAAGTGCAGAGCAGAGTCAGCTTGGGGTTCCCTCCTTTTCCCTTCCCCTCTGCCGCTACCCCCTGCTTGCACAAGCTCTCTCTTTCTTTCTCTCTCTGTCTAAAAAAATAAAATCTTTAAAACAAAACAAAACACTGCTTCCTATTAGTTGGGAAAGACCACCCCCCTTTTTTTATTTTATCGTGTAGACTTGTGTACCTTAAGAATAATTCATGATATTAGGTTATGTGACTGTGCTCTCAAGTGTACAGGTAGTAGATGAAAATGACAGAGAGGAGGACAGAGAAAGCACAATGATAAAGATTTTACATTTACACACTGTGAGGATTTTTGTTAGGTTTAAGCTTATGTGGTCAAGGATATGCCTTGAGTCTTCCCTACATATAAAAACAGGTTTGGAGGGGAAGGAGAGGTTGGGAAGTTTAGTTTGGTTGCAGTTTAGGAACCCTGATAAAAAATTCTGAGAGTTTGAATTAGTAGAAAGGACCTGATGCCGGTTCACTTGTCACTATCATCTCTTCCAACACAAATGGCTTCCTTTGTTGCCTCTTTTTGGCCAAATCACCAGTTTGATTCCTTCCTTTTCCCTGGTCAGCCAAAAACAAAACCCAAAGGCAACCCTAAGAATCTTTTAGAGACATAATCTGACCCTTTTGCAGTTAGAGTTGTCATAGAGATAGGTCTTGAGGCCTTGTTGAAGTGTCTTTGAGTGCCTTAGAGTTCACCCCTTCATGGATCAGGGACTCTGGGACTAACAGAAAACATTAGCCACCCTTCAGGAGCTACTCCGTCAGTTTGGATAGGGGAAGGTTGCTTTTATCATAACTGAAAACATGTGTCCAGTGTCAAGGACACTGCCTTCTATGAGAGGCATGATTAATAATCAGAAGGGTCCTCACTGAAGATGAATACAGAATGAAGGAGAATGAGAGTTGACTGGCCTGCTTCTTTCCCATGGTGGAGTTACGTCTCAAGACAGGAATACTCATCTGCCAGTAGTTTTTCCCTTGAATACAGCCTGATAAATGCTGACAAACTCTTAGATCTCTCTAGCTTCTAAGCTTGTCATCTTTTGTCAGCACATATATTTGTCAAACAAATTATAATACAGTAGATTTGGTTATGGTTTTCTTTTCCATCAGTCAGGCTTTGAGACTAATCAGCTTGGTTGAATTGGCCATACCAGACTGTCTTATTTGCATTTTCAGCCCATGGCAAGATTAGTCAGCTTCTGCGGATCCCTGTGTATTAGCCTAAAAATAGGGGTTAATCAGTGGATAAGTTCTGATATAAAATACCTTCTCTGTTGTGTGCCAGCTTTCCCATTGGCCTTAGGGAAAGGGTGTCTATCTGTAGTAGTGTGTTGATCTGATTTTTCTCTGGAAGACCTGGTTTTAAGAGAGGAGATGGATATTCCCACTGTGTGAGGGTGGACTTCTCCCAAAGACCAAGAGTAGAGTCAGTTGAGGAGAGGGGGAATGGAGGAGGAAGTATTTCTCAAGTGGTAGTTGTCATAAGGATAATGAATGATTGTGTCAGTTGAGGGATCATTTTGAAGGAAGGGCTTGGGGTCTAGCACTGGATTGGGGGTGCTCTTCAGACCCTGGTAACATACCTTTATAATACCCATGCCTGTATCATACCCTTACTCTTAAGAATACCTTGAGCATGGAAAAATAGTTCTCATGAGATCGGAAACTTCATTACAAATGTATAAATTATTGGTCTGCTTGCACTTTCATTTGCAGCTTAGGAAGCAAGTTTCCATTGACCAGGACTAGTGGCCAAAATAAAAAAAATCTTTCGTTCAAGTTTCCAAAATATACTAAGTCAGGAATATGAATTTGTTGATTCTTTCATCAAAAATAAATAACTTTTGGGGCGCCTGGGTGGCTCAGTGGGTTGAGGCCTCTGCCTTGGGCTTGGGTCATGATCTCAGGGTCCTGGGATCGAGCCCTGCATCGGGCTCTCTGCTCTGCGGGGAGCCTGCTTCCCTCTCTCTCTCTCTGCCTGCCTCTCTGCCTACTTGTGATCTCTCTCTCTCTGTCAAACAAATAAAATTTTAAAAATTAATTAATTAATTAATTAATTAACTTTTTGGGGTGCCTGGGTGGCTCAGAGGGTTAGGCCTCTGCCTTCAGCTGGGGTCATGATCTCAGGGTCCTGGGTCCTGCTCTGCTCGGCAGGGGGCCCACTTTCTCCCCTCTCTCTCATCTCTGCCTGCCTCTCTGCCTACTTGTGATCTCTGTCAACTAAATAAATAAAATCTTTAAAAAAAAATAAAATAACTTTTTTACCTAAGTCATAGTGGAAGTGGTTGATAAAGCAGAAAAGAAGGCTATAATTTATTTGCTAAGTGTTGCATTAATACAGCGTGTGTTTCAGGACTAAAAGCTGAGATGGTATTGTTTTTTACCGTATCCAGAAGGAAAACTGTGAGTGTGTCTGCCTTTGAAAGGCTATCATAGGTATTTAATGAAGGTAGATGTTCTAGAAAGAGCATAAGTTGAAAGAAAAGTAGAGGTTTGAGACTGCTGTCAAACTTTTTTCCCATCTGGGGCGCTTGGGTGGCTCAGTCATTAAGCATCTGCCTTCCACTCAGGTCAAGAACTCAGGGTCCTGCTCAGTGGGGAAGCCTGCTTCTCCCTTTCCCACTCCCCCTGCTTGTATTCCCTCCCTTGTGTGCTTTCTCTCTGTCTCTGTCTCTCAAGTAAATAAATAAAATCTTAAAACAAAACAAAACTTTTTTTTCCCATCTGCTCTGTTAGTCCCCTCCCCTTTTAAGGTTCTTGAAGATGTGAAATGATGTCTTCACCCAACCTTGTAGGATTTCTGCTTGAGCAGGGCAACTCCCTGAATATAGGTGATACTAGACTTTCACTAGGGAACTTCTCTTTGCTCAGGGGACTTCCTTTCCTTTGATTGGGTCATTTGCTTAACTCTGTTTCCTTTTATTTCCATTCAGATGAGTAATTTGCAAATCAAGGAAGAAAAAGTCAAACCAGATACCAATGGTGAGTCACTTGTAACTACTAGGTGGATACACACTATACTCAGTGCTCTCCTGCTTTCCTGCTTTGCATTAGTTGCTGCAGCGTGCAAAAGCCTTTCACTTAGCATAATGTTTCGCAAATGACGGCACTGTATTTGAGAGCCAGTAAATTCCGTTGCTGAAGAGGATATGTTAGTTTTACAGATTTTACCTCGTCTCTGGCTCCTGCCACTGTTCTTTTGGTAGTGTTTCTTTACATTTTTAACTTAATTTTTTGAAAAGTTAATGTGGGTTCAAAATTCAGACTGTAAACAGGTAAAAGGCTTACTTTTTGTCCCAGACTGTCATTTAGCCAGTCATTACTCTCTATTAGTTTAGTAGGGCTGCCATTCCAGGTCACAAATTGAGTGGTTTAAACAGTCAAAGTTTCTTGTCTCACAGTTCTTGAGGCCAGAAATCTGAGATCAAGATGTCAGTAGGGTTGGTTCCTTCTGAAGTTTTCAGAACTTAATGTTCAAGTCTTTAATCCATTTTGAGTTAATTTTTGTGTGTGGTTAAGATAGCAGTCCAGTTCTGTTCTTCTACATGTAGCTGTCCATTTTTCCCAATGCTGTTTCCTGAAGAGACTGTCCTTTCTCTGTTGTGTATTCTTGGCTCCTTTGTCATACATTAGTTGACTGTGTATGCATGGGTTTATTTCTGGTCATGGTTTATTCCATTGGTCAGTGTGTCTGTTGTTATGCAAGTACCATACTGTTTTAATTATATAGCTTTGTAATATAGTTTGAAACAAAGGAGCATAATGCCTCCAGCTTTGTTTTTCTTTCTCAAGATTGCTTTGGGGGGTGGGGGCGGAGGTTGCTTTGGCTGTTCAGGAGTTTTGTGGTTGCATACAAATTTTTAAATTGTTATATTTTTGTGAAGAATGTCATTGGAATTTTGATAGGATTTGCACTGATTTTTTGTGTTGCTTTTGGTATACAGACACTTTAACAGTATTCTTCCAATTCATGAATAAGGAAAACCTTCCTATTTATTTGTGTCTTCAGTTTCTTTCATTCATGTTTACAGTGTTTAGTACACAGGCCTTTCACCTCCTTGGTTAAATTTATTCCTAGGTATTTAATTATTTTTAATGTAATTGTAAATGACATTTTTTTCTTAATTTCTCTTTCCAAATTCATTATTAGTGTACAGAAACTCGCCAGATTTTTGTGTATCAATTTTTGTATCCTGCAACTTTACTAAATTCATTTATTGGTTCTAACAGTATTTTGATGGCATCTTGAGGCTTTTGTACATAATATCATATCATCTGGAAATATTGACATTTACTTCTTCCTTTCCAATTTGGATGCCTTTTATTTTTTGTATCCATTTACATTTAATATAAATGGTGGGTTAAAATTGATATGGTGGGTTTAGTTAAGCAGTTTTACGATTTGATTTGTTTGTCTTTCATAATTTCTCTACCTCTCTTTTCCTGCCTTTTGGGTTAATTGAATATCTTAGAATTCCATTTTAATTTATTGGCATTTTAGCTATAGTCTTTGCATTATTTTATGACTTTTTTCAAGATTTCTTCGTATAAGTCTTGCATATTTTTTGTTAACTTTATTTCTGGGTGCAGGATTTCATCTTTTTAATTGCTATTATAAATAGGATCTTTTTAGTTATATTGCTGTATTTATGAAAGCTGCTGATTTCTATTTACTTTTGTACTTAGCGTTTTTATCTTTTGCTCAGATATATTATTTTATAGTCATTTTTAAGTTAATACTTAGTCCTGCAGGTTTACAATCCTGTAATCCACAAAAAGTGATCATTTTACCTCTTCCTTTTAATTTTTAATTGTGTTTGCTAAAATAATAGTATATTTTAAAATAGGATAAGCAATCAGAGGTGACATATTCCGATCGGTATGAACTCAGCCGACATATCTAGAAAGTTGAAATTTTCGTATGTGCTTTCTAGGAATAAAAACCCATTAAATATAAAGAAATGCAAATATTTACATTTTGATCCCTTATGTAAGATTCATTATTTATGTTGTCACACCTTTCAGATGGGTTTGAAATTTGCCTTTATGATGACACCTGTTTTCTTGTGTAGGTGTTATTAAAACCAGTGCCACTGCAGAGAAAACAGAAGAAGAAGAGAAAGGTAATTACTTTTTAAAACACTGTAGCAAGAAACAACATGTGACCCAAGATTTGCCTTTCTGGAGAGAGAGGCACTAGATCAAAGAGATGTGGAGGAATCGCAAAGGAGATTGAGAAGCAGTCAGTGAGGTAGAAGGAGAACCAAAAGAGGGGGATATCCAGAGACCAGAAGAAGGAAGTGTTTCAAAAGTAGGTAGTCAAATATAGGTAATAAATCGATTAGGAAGATATAAAAATGGATTGTTCACTTAATTTAGCACCGTAGAAACCACTGGTGTGCTCAACAAGGGCCTTTGAGGTCTCGAGTGCAGAGGCTAAATACAAAAGCCTATTCAGTGTACATTTAGCAGAAGGGGAGGACAGGAAGTGGGGACAATGAGCATAGACAGCCTTTTCAGGGAATGTCCTATAAAGGGGAATAGAGAAATAGGACAGCAACTGGATGGCGATGGGGACTAAAGGAAGAAGCAAGTTCATAATGAAATGTTAAAACGTGTGCACATGCAGTGGGGGAATGTTCCAGTGGAAGGGGAAGCTGATAATTCAAGACAGAGTTAGTGTCGGGAGAAATAGCCTTATAGGCAAAAGGGGCTGGGACCTGTTGCACCAATGCAGGGGTTAGCCTTAAGCACAGGCTGTTCCTCCCAGGTTACCAGAGGGGACACAGAGTATGCACACAAAGCAGGTGGGTGTGTAGGTGTGTTACTGCAGTGTCGGAGGTGCTTCTGATCCTTGTACATCTCTGTGAAGGAAGGCGTGGGTTCATCAGATGAGTGAGAGAAGGAGGAGGGATGAGAAGAGAGGTGGAGGTGAAGATCTGAGAAGAGTGAATGAGTAGAGAATAGAAACAAGAAGGCTTACAGGGCAGGGCAGCCCAACTGAGTCTGGCGGTCAGAAATCTAAAGCGAGACCTGTCGGTGTCGGTGTGATTGTTTTTCTCCAGTCGTGCTCAGCGGCCCAGGTGCTGGTGCAGAGCCAGGGAGAAAGAGAGATTTCATGAGGGTGGGTTGGCCAAGTGAGTATGAAGGCCATCTGCTGGTTTCTTCCTGACAGAGGACAGAGCTGCCCAGTCCTTACTCAACAAGCTGATCCGAAGCAACCTGGTGGATAACACAAACCAGGTGGAAGTCCTGCAGCGGGACCCGAACTCCCCGCTCTACTCTGTGAAGTCCTTTGAGGAGCTTCGGCTGTGAGTGTCTGTTCCCTGGAACAGCTGTTCCTTGTTGGTCCCACCTTTCTAAAACTGAGCATCTCAGAGATTTTTTGGGAATTTTACTTTTTGCCTTTATTTTTAAGAATCTTAATGTATTTACTTCTTTGATTAGTTAATAATTCACATGATTCAAAAATGAGAAAGTATGGAAAAGTTGACGGTGATGGTTTCCCTCCCACCCTTGTCTCTTGGCTACCCAGTTCTCCTCCTCTTGGGAGGGATTTTTAAATGCCACAGATTTATTCATCATAGCTGAAAGTCTTTTTTCTTTTATGCTCTTAGAACTTTCAATAAAATATTGGCTGACAGGTGATTTCTGGATGTCAGGAACATTTCTTATTAGGTAAGCCCTTTCGTTAGACTACAGGGTTTACGGTCTTGAGAACACTTTATCTGCTTTTACATAATCAAAAGAGCCTATGCAGGATTCCTAGTACCTACGGTGGAAAGCAGCCTTCAGTATTCTGGAATTTAAAACAAAACAAAACTAAACTAAAAAAAAACAATTCAGAACCCAGAATTAAGCCGCAAGGGAGCACTTTTATGGCACTGTGCTAAGAATGACTTCTGCCATCTCTTTACTTTAAAGGCAGAATTGTGGAAGGTCATACCAAGTTTTTTTGTTTCTCTCAGCATATTAGTAAAGAAGTATTTATGAATCCTTGGTTTATATACACGCTATTGAGCTGGGTGACGTGAGTAACATAAGACATAACTACTGTTCTTGCTGCCTGCCAGGACCGAAATCACAGACAGAAAATAGCTGGTAAACAAGAACGTGGTGAAATTAATAGATTCTTTGCCTTTATCAGCAAAATCTATAGTGTGCCCACTGTGGGCAAATAAGGGCTACATTCTTGCCAACTTATTACCACTGCTTTAGAGTAAGAGACATTTAAACTATGAGAGCTGACTAAAACCAAATCAAGTCATTACTGAAGTGTTAGAACAAGTTTTTCAAAGCATGGCTTTTTTTTTTTTTTTTTAATGTTCTTAGGATATTATATTTTTCTATGTGCATTCCCGCCAGCAGGGGCTTCATTGAGCAAATCTGTCATCTCTGCCTCTGTTTATAAACTAGATCAGGGCCGCGAGTTATGCTCTTTTGTTTCCCGAAGCGAGAGTTTGCTTTTCCAAGGATTGATGGTTTTTAAACCCCATTTCATTTAAAGGACTTGAGCTCCCAGTCCAACCAGTGAGGAACTGTCCTCTCTGAAAAGTCAAGTTCTCTCTGATTTAGTAGTTTTTGGATAGAGGAAACAAAAAATGAAACTTAAGTTGCCTTGCTTTGTTTTTGTACTTAAAATTTTTTAATTAATCTGCAAGATAAGAGAAAAATAATGAACCACCGGAAGCTCTTGGATCATTTGGATCTTCATCAGTTGTGACTTTGTTTCCTTAGCAACAAATCAAAATCTGCCAAGATTCCTAGCCTTTTCTTCCAAACAGAAGACACCAGAGGTTACGCTTTCAGGTCTTTGTATCTGAGAACCAACATATGCCAGAAGAATTTGCCACTTAGAGAGCCTGTTAACTCCAAGGAGGGCTCAGAGAACAGAAGTCTTGACTTGGTTTGACTCTTCTTTACAGTCTGGTGGGATTTTTGTGGAACACCCTGTCAGTGTGGAGGTAGCAGAGAGCTAATTGTAAATGTAATGGAAGAGCAACTTGAGGGGCGCCTGGGTGGCTCAGTGGGTTAAATCTCTGCCTTCAGCTAAGATCATGATCCCAGGGTCTTGGGATCGAGCCCCACATTGGGCTCTCTGCTTAGTGGAGATCCTGCTTCTACCACTCCCTCTGCCTGCCGCTCTGCCTACTTGTGCTTTTTATTTCTGTGTCATAAATAAATAAAATCTTAAAAAAAAAAAAAAAACGAAAAGCAACTTGAATTTGATATTTGTTGTGCATCTACTTACATAAGCTGGTGCTTTCCTATTCTTCATTTTTGACTAGACTTAATAACTAAATGTGAACATTTGGAAAGTTAAGTATGGTAATTGAACACTCCTACCTATTTACGGTAGATCAGGTAATAGAAACTGGTTGAATCAATTTTTTTTTTTTTTTTAAGATTTTATTTAGCGAGAGAGGGAACACAAGCAGCAGGAGAGAGAGGGAGAAGCAGGCTTCCTGCTGAGCAGGGAGCCGAGTGCAGGACTCAGTCCTAGGACTCGAACCATGACCTGAGCCAAAGGCAGTTGCCGCTTAACAACCCAACCTAGCCACCCAGGTGCCGCAATTTTCGTATTTCTTGCCTGTCCTGAGTATTTGCACGGCTGGCTTTGAAAGGACTATGGAATACAAAATGACTGTGGTTCAGTTTAACATCTGCCTCAAGAAATTAAAACTGAATCTCATTCCCTAAGGGGACTTCTGTATGTTACTGGTATAGTAAGCAGTATATTTTTAACTATGTCTTTTATAATTCATTTTATGCAAATTATAAGATTGATATGAATTAATACATACCACTCTTAGAATATTCAGGGAACATTTGTCCTCCAAGGCCAGTCATATTTGTGGATCTGCTGAAAGCATGAATTTCTCCAGGAACTGAAGCTAATCTGTATTTTCAGAATTGCACAAGAGTTGCAGATTAAGGGGCACCTGGGTGGCTCAGTTGGTTAAGCTTCTGCCTTCGGCTCAGGTCATGATCCCAGAATCCTGGGATTGAGCCTTGCATCAGGCTCAATGGGGAGCCTGCTTCTCCCTCTCCCTCTGCCTGCTGCTCCCCCTGCTTGTGCTGTCAAATGAATAAAAACAAAACCTTAAAAAAAGAGTTGCAGATTAAGATTTAGTAGAAAAAGATGGTGGCTTGGTTTCATTTTAGATATTTTTTAGTCATTAGAAAAATACGTCTGACAAAGATAGGAAACATTTTTTTCTAGATTTAAGGAAAGCTAAAATTCTAGGCTTTTAAAACAATTTGAGTGACTAGGAATCCATTCTCTCTCTCTCTGGCTTCCTAGGAAACCACAACTTCTCCAGGGAGTCTATGCCATGGGCTTCAATCGACCATCCAAGATACAAGAGAACGCATTACCCATGATGCTTGCTGAGCCGTGAGTATGCAGGATTTGGTTTAATGTCTTATACCAATAACCGTTAACTCTTCTTGAGAACAAGATGGGATGTTTGGGACAGCATGTTTCTTCAGGAAAACCACTTGAGCAAGTGCAGAGAGTCGTTTGAAATTTGGTACAGCGTCTGCCTTTCCACTTAACAGTAAAAACTGATGGGGTGCCTGGGTGGCTCAGTTGGTCAAGCATCGCACTCTTGGTTTCAGCTCAGATTGCGATCTCCGGTCATGAGCTCAGGTTTGTGAGGTCCAGCTCCACACAGGGCTCCATAGTTAGCATGGAGTCTGCTTGAGACTCTCTCCCTTTCCCTCTCCCTCTCCCTCTGCTCCTCTCCCCACTCCCATACCCGCTTGCATGCACACGCTTTCTCTCTCTGTCTTAAGATTTTATTTATTTATTTGACACAGAGAGAGATCATAAGTAGGCAGAGAGGCAGGCAGAGAGAGAGAGGGAGAAGCAGGCTCCCTGCTGAGCAGAGAGCCTGATGTGGGGCTTGATCCTAGGACCCTGAGATCATGACCTGAGCTGAAGGCAGAGGCTCAATCGGTAGAGCATGTGACTCTTGATATCGGGGTTGTGGGTTCGAGGTCCATATTGGGTGGAGAGATTACTTTAAAAAATAAAATCTTTAAAACAGCGGCACTTGGGTGGCTCAGTTGGTTAAGTGGCTCCCTTCGGCTCAGGTCATGATCTCAGGGTCCTGGCATTGAGCCCCATATCAGGCTCCCTGCTCAGTGGGGAGTTTGCTTCTCCCTCTCCCACTGCTCATGTGTCCACACTCTTTCTCTCAAATAAAATCTTTAAAACAAACAAAACTGATGAAGAGAGCTAATAATTGTTATTCTGTGCAATTTTTAAATTTGGGATTTTTTAAAAAAAGATTTATTTCTTTATTTGAGACATCATGCACATGAGTGAGTGCAGGGAGGGGCAGGGGAGGAGAGAAACTTTAGCAGTAGGAAATTGGCATCCTACTCTATGTAGTAACCTTTTCCATTTAACTCCATTATTTTTCTTATTTAGTGACAAAAATTCTACCCATTTCCCTGACTGGGTTACGTTAAATAAAATGTGAAAGTTCCCTCTAAAGCATCTGTTTGACTTGTATTTTCGTAAAGAAGGGAAAGGGAACACACAGAGGGAGCCAAGTCCTGGAGACGCATTATAGCTGGGCAGAAAATGCCTTAGGGGATTTGCCTCAGCACAGAGTTTACCTGCAGTGTTAATTTCCATGGGGCCCCTAGGGTACAAAATTAGGGTACGCTGGCTATGCTGGAGTCTAGAGTGAAGATTTCTTGGCGTGAACGCATCTAAATCATTATGTCCCTTAATATTTAAGCAGTTTTTTGACAACATATAAAAAATATACCATTGTGTTCAGTGCAGAAAACCTGGACTAAAGGGAGAAATCTCTGCATGCCTACCACCCAAAAAGAACTTTTGATACTGTATTGTGTTTAAACAGTATTATTTTCATTTCTGTTCTTCCTTGATCCAGCCCGCAGAACCTGATTGCCCAGTCTCAGTCAGGTACTGGTAAAACAGCTGCCTTCGTCCTGGCCATGCTCAGCCGAGTGGAACCCGCTGAGAAATACCCCCAGGTGAGGGCTGGGGGATCCTGAGGGCCCTGGCTTGCCTGCCCTGGGCAAGGCAGTGCCATACGGTGGGGGTTTAATGGTGGTGCCCCTAAAAGGGGTCTAAATGTTTCCTGTGGCTCAGGCAGAGCCAGGTCATGCACTAGGCCACAGTCTGGGTAGAATTCATTCAGCAGCAGTCTTAAACAGTGGCTTCCAAAGGCATCCCCCCATCCAGGGCTCCCTGCTGTAGGTTTGGGTCTGCAGCTGAAAAGTGGGCCTGGTTGGAAAAGATGTGGTTGCCTGCACTTTTTAGTGGTGGTAAGGTCAGCGTGTTGTTGCTTTAGGGCCTGTTGTCTATTACTGAAAGGCTCTTCTAAACTCAACCTTTCTGATCTCCCTGTTAGTGTTTGTGCCTCTCCCCAACATACGAGCTGGCGCTTCAAACGGGAAAAGTGATTGAGCAGATGGGCAAATTTCATCCAGAACTCAAGCTTGCTTATGCTGTTCGAGGCAATAAATGTAAGTATAAAGGCCTGAGACCTAAGCAGTGAGCAGGATAGGGTGGTTGGGTGTTTGAATTTTGAAGGTATGATAATATTAAATTTTCTGGTTCAGTTGATCTTAGGGCCCACTGCATCACTTTCAGGAAATCTGTTTTAAACTTGCTATTTGACAGTCGTTTCTACTCTTTTTTTCTTTTTTTCTTTTTTTTGTTTCTACTCTTAAAAGATTTTGAGTTGTTGTAAAAAATCTTTGTATGAGTCATGGAGTTCTTAAAGTCTGGCGTTCTTCCCAGAGAAAACAGGGTTTTGAATTCAGCATGCAGAGTTCTCGAAGCTGCTTATTACTAAGAAGGGATTAGTAGGTGTGAGGATGGTAGGTTGGAGTCATATCCCTTTGTTTAAAAACAAGCACAGCCTTAGTAAGAGTAAACGAGGAGCACGTACAGATAACTTGGTCTTATCAAAACCAGAAATCCTTCCACCATTTTTTTCTCCCATGTATTTTATAGAATGTAATATAGAGAACATGGAGTCAAGTGGAGAGGAGAAGCAGGTAGAAAATGGTTGATTAGAAACTTACCAGAGTATATAAAACTATAAGTCAGTAAGGAAAAAGTAAGCGGTCTAAATAAGTAAAGAGTCTAATATTAAAGAGGCCCGGTTGAACAGACTCTTCACAAAAGCCTCATTTGTCATCAGGGAAATGTAAGCTAAAACCACTGTATGCCTCTCAGATGGGTAGAAGTGAAGCAGTCTGATGATACTAAGTATTGATGGAGAGGTCCAAAAACTGGAATGCGCATACATTCCTAGTAGGAGTATACAATGGGACAGTTACTTTCTGGAAGCAGTTTGGCATTGCTTAGAAAAACCATAGACAGACCTCCCTTTGACCCGAGCGGTTTATATTTGCCTGGAGCAGTGGTTCTCAAACTTCTGGGTTTCTTTCTTTCTTTCTTTCTTTTTTTAAGATTTTATTTATTTATTTGACAGACAGATCACAAGTAGGCAGAGAGGGAGGGGGAAGCAGGCTCCCCGCTGAGCAGAGAGCCCGATGCAGGGCTCAATCCCAGGACCCTGGGACCATGACCCAAGCCAAAGGCAGAGGCTTAACCCGATGAGCCACCCAGGTGCCCCTTCTGATGCTTGAATATCCCTGCATATGTGTTGTTTCCCACATGTTAATATACAACAGGGTTAATTCCTAATCATGGAGTTTTGGTCACAGGCTATGCGCATTAGTAATATTGATAGGTGGTTGTAACAGTTCAGCTCCCACCAGCTATAATTCGAAAGTAATATGTTTTTTAAACCAGAGAATTTGTACTTAGGAAAACTCTCTACACATTAGAATGTCTAACAAAGCAAAAACGCATTGGGCCAGGATCCTGGGACGCACAAGTACCAACTAAAGAAAGACCTGTGAACCGTGAGTGAATGTGTGGTGGGAAGTGAGTAAGAGTGACGTTGAGGAGAACGAGCAGGATGATGTTGAATCACGGGAGGAAGCAGGAAGGAGACATGATGCTTATTGAGGGTTCACTGCAGAGGATTGAATCCTGACCACGATGCAGTGAGATGGGTGCCATTGTGCCTGCTTTACAGTAGAAGAACCCAAGACTTCGGGATAACACTCCTGTATATGTGTTTTGACATCTGGAGTTAACTTGTTTTACTAACTCTGAAAGGATGGGCAAAGCTTTGATTTCCAAAGCTGGTTTTGCCATGGAGATCCCCACAGAAAACATCTTGTCTCCACAGTGGAAAGAGGTCAGAAGATCAGTGAGCACATTGTCATTGGCACCCCTGGGACTGTTCTGGACTGGTGCGCCAAGCTCAAGTTCATTGACCCCAAGAAGATCAAGGTGTTTGTTCTGGATGAGGCCGACGTGATGATAGCTACTCAGGGCCACCAAGATCAGAGCATCCGCATCCAGAGGTAGGAACTCTTGAGTCAAGAGGAACTTCTCAGCCTTCTGATCTGCAGCATCTTCTCCTTTTACTTCAAACACCTCTTCCTGCTCCTGTCAGGTTCTTTATCTAGTACCTCCAGAAGCATCTGCTTGATGGGCCACTTCCTCATCAGCACTGACCTGGGGTTGAGGAAGGAGACTTAGGGAATCTAACCCCAGCCCCATTCCTGCCCCGTGGCTGCTCTCACCTCTTCCCCGCTGTTCTCCTCCCGCTTTTGCTGTTTTCCTGGGCACGTAGCCCATGCGAGCCCCAGGCCGCTGTCTTCTGTTCGTTCCAGAAAAGACTCGGGATCATGCCCCATACCTGGGTCTTCCCTTGCAGGATGCTGCCCAGGAACTGCCAGATGCTGCTTTTCTCTGCCACCTTCGAAGACTCTGTCTGGAAGTTTGCCCAGAAAGTGGTCCCAGACCCAAACATTATCAAGTTGAAGCGCGAGGAGGAGACACTGGACACCATCAAGCAGTATTACGTGCTGTGCAATAACAGAGATGAGAAGTTCCAGGCCTTGTGTAACCTGTATGGGGCCATCACCATCGCTCAGGCCATGATCTTCTGCCATGTGAGTAGCAGTGGCAGCACCAGGCCTGGCGGGGGAGGAGCGGCCCTGGAGGGTGTGCCTGCCCCTCCTGTCAGCCAGCGCCACCTCAGTGCTGAGGCGGGCCAGGTGCCATGTGTGGCCAGAAAGGAATGGTTTGTGAAGGTGTAAGATAGTTTTATCTTAGTATTCTGAGGCATACGTGGCTTCACAGTCAAGTCCCTAGGGGCGCCTGGCTGGCTTAGTCAGCAGAGTGTGCACCTCTCCATCTTGGAGTCCTAAGTTTAAGCCCCACATTTGACCTGGAGCTTACTTTAAAGTTTTTTTTTTTAAGTATTATTTGTAGGTGATACATTATTAGAAAACCCAAGAGAACCAACAGATATTTGTAGGAAAAATAAGAAGTTAAACACCAACAGATATTTGTAGGAAAAATAAGAAACTAAACGACAGCTGGTTACAGAATTAATATAAGTTTTTTTCCAGTCTCGAACAGTAAATACTTAAAAAATAGAAGTTTAGTAACTGATCATTTGTTCACTTACTAATAATTCAAGAATGCGAAGCAGGAATGCCTAAATAGATCAGTCCCTATACTTTTCTCTGCATGTGGTAACGCAGTAACTTAAAAAAAAAACTTAGGGTGCTTGTGTCAAAAAAAAAAAAAAAAAGAAGAAGCCTAGATTTTCATTGATAATAACAAAAAAAAAAAAAAATCAGGAATAAATAGAGTGTTACCTCAGATTGAAAATTGATCCAGAAAGGATGAAAAAAAGAAAACACTTTCATGCCTTCTGTTGTTAACAGTTAGCCAGTTTGCTTTTATCCATGTGCTTGCATTTGACACATCCATACTTTTTGGTTTTGGTGAAGTATTTTATTTTATTTAAGATTTTATTTACATATTTGACAGAGAGAGAGATCACAAGCAGGCAGAAAGGCAGGCAGAGAGAGAGAGAGGAGGAAGCAGGCTGCCTGCTGGGCAGAGAGCCCGATGTGGGGCTAGATCCCAGGATCCCGGGATCATGACCTGAGCCGAAGGCAGAGGCTTTAACCCACTGAGCCACACAGGTGCCCCTTGGTGAAGTATTTTAAAGTTAATTGTAGACATCATAATAGTTCACACCTAAGTACTTCCCAGAAATGAGATGTGCTCCTACATAAGCCCAGTGCCACTGTCATGCCTTTAACAGTGACATAATAATAATACTCCTGTCTGGTCCTTCCATATTCCATTTCTCCACTTGTTATTGGTTTGTTTGGGTTTTTTTCCCCCATTTCTCCACTTGTGCCAAAAATGTTCTTTATTGCTTCTGGCCGGTGGTGTTAAGCCTAAGAGCCAGTCAGAGATCACTGCACGTACTTGTCATGTCTCTCGAGACTCCTTTAACCTGGAACAGTTTGCCCACCTTTCGTGAAGCAAAAGTAAGTAGTCTTGAGAATTTCTCTCATGTGCCTGCCTTGTGATTATATTCAGGTTAAATATTCTGTGAGATTAATATCCAGGTGACATCATTACCTCCTGTCACAGCATGTCACATTAACAATTTTAGGAAGTTTAACCGTCAGCTACTGAGTTTCATGTAGAGTCTTCCAGATCAAAAAATACTCTCTTCTGGAAAAAAAAAACAAAAAACAAAACAAAACAAAAAACAAAAAACCCACTCTCTTCAGGTACCTTCATTTCTCAAATAGTTCCTTCTCCCCAGACCCGCAAAACAGCGAGCTGGCTGGCAGCAGAGCTCTCCAAAGAAGGCCACCAGGTGGCGCTGCTGAGTGGCGAAATGATGGTGGAGCAGAGGGCTGCGGTGATCGAGCGCTTCCGAGAGGGCAAAGAGAAGGTGCTGGTGACCACCAACGTGTGTGCCCGCGGTGAGCAGAGAATGTGTCTGTCCGCCAGGCCCCGGGTAGTCCTGTACGGGGCGCTCCGCCAGTTTGGGGGTGTCCACGTGGGCTTGGTTCTCTCCTGGAGAGACTGGGCTTCCCTGGCACATGAGAATGTCACGGAAGCCAGAGGCGCTAATGTGCTGGAAGGACATGGAGCAGCAGCTCACTGGCCCAGGACGGTGTCTGCTCTCTTTGGGGCCCCCACAGAGGTTTCAGCTGCGTTTTCTGATACTTGTGTCTAGCAGCGGCTCTCTTCTTGAGGTCATAATTTTGTCAGCACTTGCCGAAGTTCTGTCTCTCCCTCGATTCTGCTGCATGCCCCCGGTCCCCGAATCCCAGAGCCGGCCTGCCCCAGACTCTTCCTTCCACCCGAAGCTGGTGTGTGTCGGCCTCACCTGGTTGGCAGTGATTTTCGGCTCCCGTCCTGACTCCTCTGCACCTGCCTTTCATGCAGGTATTGACGTCGAACAGGTTTCTGTCGTCATCAACTTTGACCTCCCCGTGGACAAGGACGGGAACCCGGACAACGAGACCTACCTGCACCGGATCGGGCGCACAGGCCGCTTTGGCAAGAGGGGCCTGGCAGTGAACATGGTTGACAGCAAGCACAGCATGAACATCCTCAACAGAATCCAGGAGCATTTTAGTGAGCACCGGGGAATGGCCCCCAGGGAGGGACGAAGGGTCGGTTCTCCCGTGGCCCCGAGAGAGGCCTGTGTCTTTGTCACACAGTCCCCTCCTTTCCTACAGTATGGAAGTTTTCAAAGAGCACACCTGGGTCAGGTGTGCTTTCAGGGTCAGGGATGCAAAGGACAGTGCCCCCCTGGCCAGGCCGAGGGACCTAGGGCTCTCTCTTGTCCCTCACTTGGGCACCGAGAGTCTTTGGGGTCAAGTGCAAGACTGCTGTGGCCAGAGGTATGGTCCTGTTTCCGGCCGGGCAGAATGCTGTGTTTCCTCTCTCCCTGCTGTGCTGTCCCTTTCCTAGGTGTGTGTCTCCATGGTAGACCTGCACTGATTTCTCTCTGAATTCTCATTTTCCTCCCCAGATAAGAAAATAGAAAGACTGGACACGGATGATTTGGACGAGATTGAGAAAATAGCCAACTGAGACGCTCCACCAGTCACCAGTGCCCACCCCTGGCACTCCGCCTGCATGGGAGACCAGTGCTTTCATGGCACAGGCCTCGACAGTCACCACAAAGACAAAGACAGAGGAGAGAGAAACTACCTACCTCATTTTAAATTACGTTTGGACTCGACAAAAATTGTGCAAATGATGGGGGAAGGTAGAAAGGAAAATTTTGCATTTTGGAAAAAGTAGTCCTCCCCCTGCCCCTCCCCACTTTTAAGCCATGGTTTTTCCCTATCTTTATAATAATCTGGTCGCTATGGATAATCGCGGAGCCTAGGAATCCCTGCTTATTTTGTCGGTGGGGAGATAGGACCCGTCTCCTGCCCCTGCAGAAATGGTAGATGTAGAGTGCGAGAGAGACCTCAGCACAGGTGTGCGGGCCCCGCTGCACGGATGGAGTGTCGGGAGCAGCAACGGAGAGACCGTGAGCTTCCCCCCTTCTCAGTCCCTTCCTGGAGACCTGCTGCCAATGTCTCCTGCCCTTGGGGCCATCTTCCTTCTAAATGCAGTGACGTTTCAGCTGATCCCTTTTACCTCTGTTCCCTGTGCCAGAGGACGTCCTTTTCTCTTTGGGTGAGCATCTTGGGTACTTTTGTAAATCTCCCAATTTGGAGAGAAACACAGAAGTCAGTGAATCTTCAGAAGGATTGGTCTGGCAAGGGTAGATGAACCCTTTCAGAATCTAGGCCTTCCTTTTCCTGCTGTTGCTGTGTCTGCTCAGACACTGGTAATCAGTCATGGCACCCAAGAGACACCAGGTGAGTTTCTGACACACACCTGGCCAAGTGAGTCGGGTCTTATCCACGGGGTGTCACACTGTGCCTGGAGGTGAGCAGCAGCGTTTGGAAAGGAAGTTAGGACCAAGTGGAAACTCTGATAGTGCTCTCTATCTGTAATAGTGGACCTGTTGGCTACTTTAACTCAGAGGTCATCTATATGCATAAGGACAGATAAATTCGAGCTATACCCATCATTCATTATGTTCAGAAATTTTAAGGTAATTATGAAAGGCTTTACTAATCATGATTCATTTTTATTTGTATTTTTCTGCTAATTAGACTAATATATGCTCATTAAAAAAGGTGTGTGTGTGTGTGTATGTGTATATACATACATAAGGAGCAGGTGCTGTCTCTCCCCACCTCTCTGGAATCACCATTGCTGGCATTTTGATGAACATTCGATAATATTTCCTTCTGTTTACATATCGACGTTTTTACAAAAATGTGAACATCCTACTCAGGCTCTAGTGCACCGCGCCTTTTCACTCAGTAGCGTTATCTTGGACATGTGTCATGTCCAGCACACAGGCATATGCATTGCGTTCTTGGCTTCTCTAGTGACAGGCGCGGGAGGTGGCCACGGTGCCACGGCCCGCAGCCTCACTCACCTCTGCCCTGTGAAAGTCGCTGTAGGATCTGTTCCTAGAAGTCCCGGTGCTGGGTCAGAGAGTGGAGACTTAAGGACGATTTTAATCCATTCCCAATTTACCCTACCAGAAAGTTTTTACCAATTTACATTATTGTAGTGATAACAAAAGTACCTATTTTCTTTCCTGCTGGCCAATCCTATTGTCAATTTTTACAAATTTGCCAGTTCGAGTAGCAAAAATAAATGACATCATTGCATTCTGTATTTAGTGCGCTTTGGCAAACTTTTTCAGTTTATTGGATATTCGTATTTTGGCCTTTCGGGGTACTACCCATTCTTGCCTCATCACTTTACTATTGAATTGTCAGTCCTTAATGATTTTAAGCCACTGCTATTTTAAGGAAATTGGACTTGAGTGGTGGATGTTTTCCTCATTTGTCTTTATAAACTCAATTTTCATAATATTACACAAAAGTTTAATGTTATTCAGATTTCATTTTTAAGAAATCTGGATTTATGCCATGGCTAGAAAAGTTTTCCTCATCCCTGTGTCATAAACCCCAATTTATCCTGTACTCATCCCAGTATTATAAATTATTTACTCATGTTTCCTGTGGTGGCAATTGTTGGGGAGTAAATCTAAACTCTTGTAGATCTTTGAATGTTTTTCCCTGTTTATTTGCAGCAAGTGATTATTATGGTTGTCCCGAGAGTGAGTGGATGGCAGAGCTGTGGGTGTGGGCTGGAGTCCATGCCCCCAGGGAATGAGAATACAAACGGTCCACTGGGAACGGATGTGAGGGAATGAAGGGCTGGGTGTCCCTGCAGGTGTTACCAGGTGCAGGAGAGTGGCTGCAAGTACGTGAGGGGTGGATGCAAGCTGGAGGTGGGAGAGCGGTTTGGAAAAGAGAGGTGGGCAAGAAGGGGAGCCAGATTCCAGAGAGGGGACAAGAGGAGGGGGAAAGAGGTCCTCATGGGAGACAAGAAGATGGAGGAGGCCAGGTGGGGCACCAGCGCTCCAGTTCAAGTGATACCTACTATGACCCCAACACAACAGTGATACAAAAAGGTAAAAACCAGAAAACACCCTGCCTGACCCCAAAGCAAGATCGGTATTTCTGTACACCCGCAATAGGGTAAAAATGCAAGTGGTGAGCCAGGGCTGAAGCCAAAAATTCGCTGGGCTTCAGTCCAGAAACAGAGTAACTACCGGCTGTTCTGTCTTACGGAGTGGAGGCCACGGGAAGCATTGCATACAGGACCAGAACCAAAGCCAGGCTCGCTGCTGGGAAGGGGCCGGACTGGAACTTGAGCTGTGCGCTGGCTGGAGGTGAGACTTTCATTAAGACCCAGACCCATGAAGCAGGTGGGAGGACTTGGACCACTCACCCCCTGTTAGAACAGGCAATTGACATGATCCTGTTGACTCTGCCTGCTCTGTGAGATCCGCAGACTACTAAATGTCAGCAGACCTGTTCTACAATAAAAGCCAAAAGGGCAGGAGCTGGATGGAGCCAACTGCTACACCCACCCGTGGATTGTCAGGGGGAAGAAATCTATGCTAAGAAAGAGTACAAACATCAAATTCACTCCAGATAAAACTACTTGTAAGGAATGGCCTGATAAAAGACTTCAAGTATGTATGAATGTTAAGAGAAAAAAAGCATTGGGGCGCCTGGGTGGCTCAGTGGGTTAAAGCCTCTGCCTTCGGCTGAGGTCATGATCCCAAAGTCCTGGGATCAAGCCCCACATCGGGTTCTCTGCTCAACGGGGAGTCTGCTTCCTCCTCTCTGTCTGCCTCTCTGCCTACTTGTGATCTGTCAAATAAATAAAATCTTAAAAAAAAAAAAAGCATTTCACTAAAAAAGAGCATGAAATTATTAAGTAAATTTAGACAAAAGCTGAAACTCAACACAAGCTGGCTGTTAAGTCACTGGTAACTGGAAGATGGCCGTGCTGGGAGTGTTTACCATCGAGGTCAGCAAACTACAAATCAGAGTTTTGTTTTTAAACAATTCACCAGCATAAAACAATAATAAGTAATATTAGAAATTTTAAGAAAAGAGGTAGGTAGTCATTGAGATAAAGTCAATAAATGGGAATCGTAGATTAAAATCCTAATTAGGGCTGCCTGGGTGGCTCAGTCGGTTAAGCATCTGCCTTCAGCCTCAGGTCAGGATCCTGGGATCCTGGGATCGAGCCCTGTATCAGGCTCCCTGATCAGCAGGGATCCTGCTGCTCCTCCAACTCAGGCTCTCTTGCTGGATCGCTTTCTGAAATAAAATCTTTTTAAAAATAAAAAAATGAAATCCTAATTATCCTCTTGGGGGTGCCTGGTTGGCTCTGTCAGTGGAGCATAGGACTCTTGGTCTCAGGATTGAGTTTGAGCCCCAAGTTGGGTGTAGAGATCACTTAAGCATACAATCTTAAATAAAATTCTAATTATATTCTCACTTTTTTAAAAAAGTATTAAAACACAATCCAAATTTCAGTAGATTCAGCCTGGGTGGCTCAGTCAATTGAACATCCAACTTTCGATCTCAGCTTGGGTCTTGATATGGTTGTGAGCTCAACTGTCCCCCATCGCCCCTGAGTTGGGCTCCATGCTGAGCGTGCAGCTTACTTAAAAACAAACAAAAAAACATTTCTTGCTTTTTTTAAAAAAAAAAAAAAAGATTTTATTTATTTGACAGAGATGACAAGTAGGCAGAGAGGCAGGCAGAGATAGAGGGGGAAGTAGGCTCCCCGCTGAGAAGAGAGCCCAATGTGGGGCTCCATCCCAGGACCCCGAGACCACGACCTGAGTCGAAGGCAGAGGCTTTAACCCACTGAGCCACCCAGGTGCCCCCCATTTCTTGCTTTAAAGTCTAACATAGAAGTCCTTTAGGAAGACCACAGGGGCACCTGGCTGGCTCAGTGGATCATGCGACTCTTGATCTCAGGACTGTGAGTTTGAGCCCCATGTCAGATGTAGAGATTACTTAAAAATAAAATCTTTAGGGCGCCTGGGTGCCTCAGTGGGTTAATCCTCTGCCTTCAGCTCAGGTCATGATCTCAGGGTCCTGGGATCGAGCCCTGCATCTGGCCCTCTGCTCGGTGGGGAGCCTGCTTCCTCCTCTCTCTCTGCCTGCCTCTCTGCCTACTTGTGATCTCTCTCTGTGTCAAATAAATAAATAAAATCTTAAAAAAAAAAAAATCTTCAGGGTGCCTTGGAGGCTCAGTTGTTAAGCATCTGCCTTCAGCCCAGGTCATAATCCCAATGTCCTGGGATCAAGAGCCTCATCGGGCTGGCTCCCTGCTTGGTGGGAAACCTGCTTCTCCCTCTCCCACTCCCCTTGCCTGTGTTCCCTCTCTTGCTATGTCTCTGTCAAATAAAATCTTTAAAAATAAATCAGGGTACCTGCATGGCTCAGTCAGTTGGGTGTCCAGTTCTTGGTTTTGACTTTGATCGTGATCTCAGGGTCCTGGGATGGAGCCCCTTGTCTAGGCCTGCACCTCGTCAGGCTCCTGGCTCCGTGGGGAGTCTTTTTGAGGGTATATCTTCCTCTCCCTCTACCCCCTTCATAGATAGTTATAGATATATATATATAGATAGATAGATAGATAGATAGAAGGAGGAGGGAGACCACAGAGGTAAATTCTCATTTTCTTCACATCGTACCAAAGGCACATATAATTAGCATGACATCAGTTGTGACCTGGCAGAGGTAGGGTCTGTCAGGTTTTTCCACTGTAAAATTACGTTCTTCTCCCTTTCCATACCTTCCTCTTTGAAAGGAACTTGCTACACACATCTAAGTTGTGGGGAGTCGTGCATTTATGTATTTATATAAGTATAGACTCGTGACATTAATTTTGATCACTTGGTTATGGTGACTTTGATATTTTAGAAACATCGACATTAGTTAAGTCCTTCATAGCAAAGAAAGCTGAGATTCCAGACCCTTCCCTTGAATGGTCTTTAGTGTGGTGGTTCGTGGAAGCAGGTTTCACAGGAAGTGCTGTGGAGACAAAGGCTGGGAGACAAGAAAAGTGGTTCAAAATGGGCAGGGTTCCTTCTATGAGTCCCTTTACCCGTTTTATGACAACTTTAATACAAATGAGCTATTGCAAGAAAGCCTTCCATGTTTTACTTTATATGTTTATGAATTGTTTGAATTATTTTTGTAATTTTTAATATTAAAAAAGAGACAAAGTTAGCAGAGTAGAGCAAAGACAGGATTAAACTCAGATCCCTCTGAATGCAGACACCATATGCTCACTCTACCTCACCAAGCCTTCTCCCTGGAGAGAAGCCATGCTGCCAGAAAGGGCCTGTATTATTCTCCAGCACAGAAACAGTTGTTAGATGAAAGGTGTTAATTCCATATTCTCAGAGGAACAGACTGGTCCTGATACCCATGGTTCACCAAGAGTGGGGGGAGGGGGCATCTTCTTGCAATTTCGTGGGTTAGTTGTCATCCAGGCAGTTGCTGCAGAAGCTGTGATTTTTCTGGAAGGATAGTGAGGAGGGGCACCAATTCTAAAATCACACTCGGAAAATAATATTCTAATTTTTAAAAATACAGGTTTAGGATCCGATCTTTTCCCTCACCTAGCAAGGAAAGATGCTTCTTAACCTTGCCAAACATGTCACAGGAACCAGCTCCTTGCCTGCTGAATGGCAGCCTGCAGCTGTTCCTGTGATGGGGAAAACCCTTAACCCATTCGTGCCCTTCCCTAGCATCCATCTACCCCTTCCAGGCCATAAATCCAAGCACTTCTCTTCCAAGAGGCCTCTGTGTCATGGACTATATGACTACATCATCCAAATATGCTGCTTCACCCAGAGAAGGGTTACACATCTCCGCTCCACTCAAGCATGGCATGGGACTTCTTTGGCATCAAGAACATGAGAACTTCTTGGAGCAGAAGCCTTACGAGCAAGTATGTGGATCACCAGATTCTCTTTTCCCTGCCCCGGAGACCCCAGATCCATCCCAGATGGTACCACTACCAGTCTGGGTCCCTGAGAGACTATGATAAGCAGAGAACCCCAGGGTGGATATATGGCTTGAGGGAGCAATAAACATTGCTATTTTGAGCCACTGGGAGTTTCACGGGTGTTTGTTACTATAACATAACCTAGCTCATCGTTACCCTCCATGCCATGGAATGACTGGTTCCCTGTCCGGCCACCCTAATGCCAACCTGGATAGCAGGTAAGCCCCATCCACGTACACAAAGTTCCCAAGCGGTTTCTTGACCCACTATCTCAGAAGAGA